TGGAATGCCCTTCTGAAAAGTTTCTACTTATCTATCAACACCCAATTTATATGTCATTACATATATTTATATGTCATTCATTTGTGAGAAACCTTTCCTAATTATCCCAGGAAGAGATTCTGTACTTCCATTGTACTGTATTATCTGTTAACAAATGTCTCCTTCAGCTCCTGACCACAACTCCTAAAATCTTGTAATTTCCTAGTAATAAAGGTGCTAGGAGCAGCTTTTGTTCTAATATTTGGTCATTGACACTGTTTCTGACACAGAGCTCCTAAACCCCTTGGAATTTCTTGGGTGAAAGGAGTGTCTTTTGTTCTACTGAAGCAACTCTTGATGGGCTCCTGGATGGACGCTGGTCATCAGAAAGGTCAAACATGATTAGAAGCCTGGAACTTTCAGCCCCACCATCTATACTCCAGGGAGGAAAGGAGGGCTAGAGAGTGAGTTAATAATCAGTTATTCCTACATGATGAAGCCTCTATAAAAATCCCTAACGTACAGGTTCAGAGAGAGAGCTTCCAGGTTGCTGAACACATCAAGATGCTCGGGGTGGGTGTCACACAGAGAGGGCATGGAAGCACTGCACTCCTTCCCCCCATACCTTGCCCTATGCATCACTTCAGTTTTTTCTGAGTTGTATCTTTTTGTAGTAAACCAGTAATCTAGTTAGTAAACTGTTTTCCTGAGTTCTGTGAGCCGTTCTAGCAAATTATCAAATCTGAAGAGGGGGTCATGAGAACCTCCAATTTATAGCTAGTCAGTCAGAAGTACAGGTGACTACCTGGACTGAAATTGTTATCTGAAGTGGTGGTATCTTGTGGGACTGAACCCATAACTTGTGGGATCTAGTGCTAACTCCAGGTAAAGAGTGTCAAAATTAAATTGAATTGTAGGACACCCAGTCAGTGTCTGCTGAAAAACTGAACTGTTGTGGGGAAAAACCCCACACAATCTGGTGTCAGAGGTGAAGTATTGAGACTAGTGGTAGTGTTGAGAGAAGAAACAGAGCTCTTTTCCTTTCACTCCCCCAACTAGATTTTTAATTCAAAACATCTTTTAATTCTAGTACCTGGAATGATATGGTACTCAATAAAATGTTTGCTAAGTGTACACATTTTCTCACATACATAACACTGTAATTGGTAGGCAGATTCCACAAACATTTATTAATATTTAACAGCCAATATGGCTGAACAAGTAGCATTTCAGTACCTTAAAGGTAAAGGAGTGGTCCTTACTTGTGTATCTCATGCTTATTAACATATATTGAGCTAGTTAATCGAATGCGTGATCTTTTTCAATAAGTCTGTTGAAACAGCTTTTGTAACTTAGTTTAAAAATCTAAGAGACATAAATGTGTTTGTGTGTGAAAATGTGTTCTTGGCTCTTCAAATTCTAACCTGTAAGTCAAACAGCCGTTGTCACCACAGTCAAATTACATGATCTCGAATGCTATTATCAAAGCACTACATTTACAGGAAAGAAAAAACAAATTCCTAATCTTGGCATTTAGGATCTCCACAATTAAAACCTAATTTACTTTACATGTCACTCCTCTTCTTCATGCATGCTACACTCACTCCAGGCAAAATAAACTCTTCCCCTGTCTCCAGAGTCTACACTTACCTCCTTTACGTCTTGGCTTTTATTGTCTGCTTTACTAGAAAGTCCCTCCAAACTCAGTTCTACAAACTCAAATATAACATCATTTATATATCATTCAAATGCCATCTCCTGATCCTTTCGCACTTCCAGAGATAGTCTTCCCATCTTCTCAATATTTTACCTAGACTTCTTTGACAAACAGTTTATAATTTTATTTCAAGAGCATGTAGTTACATATCTATTTTCTCTCCCTCTATTTAACAATAAGGGCAGATTCCACATATAATTCAAAACTTTCCAAAGTATGTTCCATGGAATTCATGAAATTAATAAGAACTATAAAAGCATCATGGTCAAAAAAGTCTGGGAAATGAACTTCTCAAAATCTTTAACATATTAAGGTACATTGTAAATCTCTAATGAAGCAAAGTATGCCCACTGCCAAAACTTATTTGGTCTCTGAACCATTTTGGGTTTTTTGCAGTACATCTCATAGATTACTATTTCTATGGCATGCCCTTTGAAACATGCAGCCTCATTAATCCTGGCAATTTATCTTGAATTTAATAGGTACTCAGCAAATGTTTGTTGAATGAATGGGTAATTGACCCTGGTTAACAAAGAACTGCCCCATTAAGGTAACTTGCCCAGACAGAAGGGAAGAATGAAGAAGAATAACTAAAGAGAAAAATAGCAAGTGAGAGGAAGCACAATGTCCTCGGTAGTGCTGTAAGAGGGGAATAGTTGCAATAAAAAAAAATTTACTATCCCAGCCACTTTTTATATGTAAAGGAATAATTAAACCACATAGGAATTCCTGTTTAGAATGTTCATCTGAGGCGCTCATTTAGAAACGTTGCACATAGATCTTTTTAGAAAGATTGAAACTAAGAAGGTATTCTGGTCAATTTCCAGGATATTCACTATTAAAATAGCTGAATAATCTATTACTAATCATTTCTGTCAACTAAGGAAACATCCTATAGTTTCATTTTGTTGCATGAAGGTATTTATGTTAAAAAAGGAAGTCTCATGGGACCAATAATATTTTAAAAGTAGAGTTGACACATGAAATTTCATGGATTCAAAACATAATTTTGTATTGATTTGTCCTCTTTCAATGTGGAAAAACGAAAGCACACTTCAATTTAATAGTGCATTGAAACCAGGATGCATAAAAACAAAATATCCTTGACTACATCCTGACCTCTGTTTCCCACAGTTCTTCAGCCCTGACTAAGAAAGGGAAGCAAGAGAAAAAGACACTCCCTGACTTGTCCCTACAAAACCTAGATCCTACAAGTGGCAACAGGAAATAACAGCAATGACTGAGGTTTGGTTTGTTTGTTTTCCCTCCTCCCTCTAAAGCAGAGACCAACTTCTCACTTAGGAATAAAAACTTATTCAAGAGTAGAGTCCATTGCAGGGCTGAAAAGATATTTTTAAATCATAACTATTAACATTTAATTTTAACTATTAATGTAATATGCTTTTCATTTTGATGAAGCAACAAACTACATATGGTCAGAAAAGAGAAAGTCACATGACTTAAAATCCATAAGCATGCCTATGAACCCTCTGGCCACAGAACTAGTCTGTCTCTATCATCACTGGTCAGTGAGTATTACCAGATATCACATAACAGGAATCACTGAATTAAGTTAAACCCTAATTTGGTTTAGCTAGTTTACTAAATGGTGAGACCCTAGAAAGCAAAATAAATATTTCTTTACCTCCTCCCCTACCCCTCTGGAGGGAAGTAGAAATCAAACATTTTCAAAAAAGTTACGTGGACTCATGTGGTCAAACATTTAAAGAAAAATAGACATAATATGATTTGAAACACAATGGGGAATGTCAAGCAGGATTCATTAACTCAAAGATTAATGCTTTATGAACTGTATGATAAAATAAGTTTTTCATTAATAGCTAGATGCTCAAGTATTTCATTAAGATCTCAACTTCACAAATAGTTTTCTACCTTTATAAGATGTAAAACATAAAACAAGGAACTACAGAACTACTTTAGTATCTGTCCCAGCAACACACAGTAAAAGCTTTTAGTAAAAAGAATGTCTCCCTGCTCCTGTGTCAATCGATAAATAGATGGCACAATTTTTGAATTAGAGAAGCTAATATAATGTATCTCCCAATACTTAAATCTGAGGAAATGCAATTAATATTTCCAATTTTTTTTGTACTTATAATCTTTCACTCGCAAATTACTATTACAATTTATTATGATAATAGCATGTTATTCCTCTCAACAAAAGCATTATCTATCCAAAAACTGACAGAAACCCAAAATATATAACAGTAACAAATGTGAAAAGTTCCCATTGTCATAAAAAACTGTGGCATTCAAATTTTAGGCAAAAAAAACCCCCGAAAAAAACCCAAACCTGCTGAATCTCAAACAGAAAAAGGATCCAATTTTAACTTAGAGAAATTCTCTATTGTCAACTGTAGTCTTCTCCATTATTACTTACACTTTGTTACTCATTTTGAAACACAAGCACACACAAAAAGGGTCTTTCCTTCCTTTTTCTCCACGTTCTCATTTCTTTCGCAAATGGAGATCCTTTATGTTTCATTATTTAATGGTCTAATTAGGATTTTCCTATTATATATATTCTATTCTATTATCTAGATAATAGATAATATTCTATTATCTCAAACATCACAGCTTCTTACATTGGATTTCACTGAATTAAATTTTAAGTTTTAGAGACTGAAAACTCTCAAAGAAACACAGTAGAATGCTCACTGTCTCATGCGTTAAGGCTTCTCTAGTTCGCAGTTAGGTGGTTTTGTAATACACTTCAATTCGTTAAGACCCGAACACAAACGTCAATTTTAGTTTTGCCTCCCTTCAGTCTGAAGAGCTAAGTAGGCCTTTATTGTCCTAGAAAAATACCCCGGCCTTTTCAGATATAAGGGTAAGCTGACAGGCAGATAAGTGTCACTTCTCCCATTTACTAATGAAATGATTACTCAACAACGAGAAGCCCCCAATCGTCCCAATCTCAGGCGGCCCCGAAAAAATTACGCGACAAGTCGGGGCTCCGCCAACCTGAGGCTCCTGGTTCAGCCCTTCGCACCACTCATCCCGAGTGCATCTTCCAGCGCCCAAACCTCCCAGGCTCCCTCCGGCCCTGTGATACAAGCCCCCTCCTCCTTTCAGACTCCGGGCTCCCTCTTCTGCCTCCCCGCCCCAGTCCCCAAGCCACCCCTCCCCCATGTCACGCTCCGCCCGTGCTGACAACGGGGCCGCCACCCCACCCCTTCGCCTTCGCACCTTTCTTCCGAGGGCGAACACCAGCTCCTCTGCTCGCCCTCCTCGCTGCCTGCACCCCAGGCCTGCCACTCCCTGAAGAGCCGCCGGGACCCACCTCGAAGAGCTCGGCCGTCGTAGCCATCCCTGCCGGCTGAGAGGCTCGCCTCGCGCTGGACGCCGTCTCCTCTTCACATGCTGCGCCTCAGCGGCGCCGCGCACAAGTCCCCGCTCCGCTCGCCAGCTCCGGCTCCCGGCCGCCACGGGCTCCCCGACTCCCCACAGAGCCCAGGCGGTGCGGGAGAGCGGCCATGAAGCGAAGCCGCAGACGCCTGTCAGCTGCCTCCCGGCGCCGCCCGCGCCGCTCCCATTGTCACCGCCTCGTACGCCGGAAGTGGAGCTGCGCGCGCCGAGTTGGCTGTCGGGAGGGGCGGACGTGCGAAGCGAGCAGCCGGTGATATGCTGAGAGGTTCGTCGCTCGGGTGAGTGAGGAACCTTGATCCTTGCGGGCCACCATCCCGGAAGTGGACTTCAGAGGAAGAAAGTGCTAGGGATGTCGGGGATAAATAAGTTTCTCAAGATTCTAGGTACGAATTCACAGAACTTTTTGTGACGCGCGTTGGCCGGGAAGGACTCAGAAGTTTTAGTCACTGCGTCTGAAGGAGCTAGCTTCTCTGCTGAGCCCGACCTGTTTGTGGTGGAGCAGAAGGTAGCGAAGGATGAGTGAGTCTCGGGGCTTCTAATAAAGAGTCCATGTGAGAGAAAGCTGGTCTGCGTTCTTCCTCGTTGGCGGTCTTAAAGATGAGCTGATGATTTAGCGGCTTAGCATGGCTCAGCGGGCAGTGTGGCTCATAAGTCACGAACCGGGAACCCCACTTTGTGGCATCGTCAGATTCTCCAGGTAAAAAAGTCTGAGTCCTCAGGAATGATGAATCGGAGGGATAGACTATGTAGCATAGTTTTGTGATGCAAAGTACCCCTGGTCCGCCACCTTGGGCGAGTTACTTAACCTCTATTCAATGAAGATTTTAATACTACCTCATAGTGTTGTGAGGATTAAATGAGTTTATGGCTGGCACATATTTTCTGTGTTTTCTAATAGTATTAGTATTACTGTGTCTTAAAATTAACTCCACTGCTTAGGATTAATAGGAGAGAGTGAAAGGAAAGGAAGGAAACCTGTTGAGCACCACTCATGTTTAAAAATTTTTTTTTAATAATAAAAGTTACTCAAGGACATTTTAACTCATTCTGGAAAATCCTTGCTGAGCCGTATCAGACTGTTATTTTCATCTTATGTTTCATTACTAGACAATTTCAGATAGGTTTACTTTCAAGTGCCTAATTGTTGAAGAAAATTGAAAAAGTACAAAAATCGTATTCTCTTTTTCTTAAACTATGTAAGCTGATCTGGTTCCATTTTTAGAATTTGCCACATTTTGTCAAAATACAATAACTCATTGTAAAGTGTGGGTGGCAATTGAGTCATCTGTTTCACCTTTTACTCTCAGTGGCTATTGACAGTTCTTTCTTGCCAACAAATTCATTCTTCCCCAAGGAAAGCTCTAGGGTAAAGTATCATAGCTCTAAATTTAGATTGAGACAAATAAATATGAGTATAATTTTAAATGAAAAGTGGTTGACAATGTAGATATGAAAAACTCCCTTTTTGCAACCTAAACAACTTTTGTTACTAAGAGCATCAGAGTTGGAGTTTACCATTTTCCCCCAGGATACCTGACTTACATTTGTTATTGTTGTTGTACCTCAAGTAAGAAGGTTAATATTCTTTAGGATGGTCTATCCAAGTTACTCCAAGTTTTACTTACATTTTCCCTTGGGTATCTTATACCCCCTCACAGGTCACTCATGTGCCTATCTTTGTTACTTTTCTTATATTTGTGTGTTTGTGTATGCATTTTTCAAATTACATAATTGTGCTATAGACTTCATTTCCTTTTCTTACATTTGTCAACTTGCTCAGTACTATTTTTAAGAAACTTCCGTGTTACTTTGTGTTCATCTGGAGCAGCACTGTTCAATAGAATTCTCTGCAATGATGAACATGGAAAATGTTCTAAATCTATGCTGTCCCATATTGTAGCCACTAGCCACATGTACCTATTGAGCTTTTGAAATGTGGGTATTGTAACTGAGGAACCCAATTTTGTTTAAGTCGAAATAGTCACATATGGCTAGTGGCTACTATATTGGACAGTGCAGATCTAGGCCATTACTTCTGTTTGCTCTGTAGCACTCCATGGTTTACATTCCTCCACACTTTACCTCCCTCCCTCCCCAGTAGTGATATCACAGGTTGCCTCCAACTCTGCCATCAGAACACTACCGCAGTAGATATTCTCAAAAGGTCCATGGGACGTATCTATGCTGATCTTGACTAAATATTGCCAAATAATTAGCTCCTCAGAATACCTTCACCAGTATATACTTTCACCAGCAGTCAACGAGGTTTCCTGTGTATCCAGTTTTTGCAGTACAGTATCTTAGTTTTATTTGCATTTCTCCGTGTAGCAATGATTGTTAGGTTTCCTTTGGGTTTCCTCTTCTGTGAATTTCCTGTACATATCCTTTGTTTCTTTTTTTCTTTGAGAGTTGCTGGCTTTTTCCTATTAATTTACGGAAGTTCATTGTTTATTCTTGATACTAGTCCTGTGTCAGTTTTAGCTATCACAGATGTTTTCTCATAATTTATCATTGTCCATTTATGTTACCCTTGGTTAAACAGAAATCACTAATTTTATTGCAAGCAAAGTAGTTAATGCTTTGGGAGATGTGTTGAAGTCTTTCTTTCCCTACTCCTATTTCCCAAAGATATCTTCCTACATTATCTTCTCTTAACTTTATCATTTTATTTGTTATATTTAGGTCTTTAATACATCTTTGGATGTGGTGTAAACATAGGAATCCCATTTTGTTTTTCTCTGTACTGTGGACCAGTTTTCTAACATCATCTTCCGAACAATATACATTTTCTTTATTGATTTGTCGGGCTCTTGATAATTCGTTGTGTCTCCCATATAAACATTGCTCTGTCTCAGTTCTATTACTTTGTCTGTTATTATACCAATGCCATATTGTATTTATATCTGTAGCTTTGGAGCTTAGCTTAGTATCCCACAGAGGTAAGATTTTTTTTTTCCGACTTAAAAAATAAGCTCCTTGAAGAAGTCATGCTTGTTTTCAGAATTTTTTCCCACTGTGCTCAGAATGTTTCAGAAGAATTCAGATGTGTCTGGGTAAGCATTTCAACATCTCTATGGAACAAGTTGGGTTCAGATCATCCGTCTGTCACTTATTAATTCTGTATTGTTGAATGAGCCAGTTAAGTTTTATTATTTTCAGTTTTCTGACCTCTTGAGGCTGGTGGTGGGGCTAAACAGATATGCACTGGCATATTACCCACATATATGCCAACAGATAATGGTCATCCTTAAAGAATTAAAAACGCAAATGATTTTTTTTTTTTAAGATTTTTTTTATTGGGGAATTGGGAGATGGGAACAGAGCTGGGGAATTGGGGAAAGGGGAACAGACAAGTTGCTGTCTTTTTGTTCTTCAGTCTAATTGTGGAGGATGTTTCACTGGCCCAAGTTGGCACCATCATTGCGCTCTTCCCTGGAGAGGCAGATCAGTCGCCGGCTTCTGGACGGCCGCTCACGGCAGCTGCTGGCCGCTCATGCTGGCTGCTGGCTACACACGATAGCCCATGGCAACTCACTGCCACAGGTGCTGCAGCCTATGCCATCGCAGGTGACTCATGGCAGCCCAGCTCCAGGTTGAGCTGCTGTTCAGCATCTTAGCTGTGGAGGGCAGTGTCACTGGCCCTCATATGTGGGATCCGAACCAGGGCCCTCTGGCGTCCCAAGCCAGTTCTTAACCAACGTGCCACTCGGCCGGCCCGCAAATGATTTTTTTCTGTGTCTAACTAACTACTTTTCCCCCACAACAAAACGGTGTAGATTCTGTTTTAAAGGTTTACTGTGTGGATAGATAGCAATTGTATCAGGTTAAGTCTGGCTAGGTTGGTATTGTAGACCCTAGTTGTTGGGCCATTTAAAGTTTGAGTTCTATTTTAGAAAAGACCTAGAATAAATCTGAACGACAGGTTGAGTCATCCAACAAAAATATTTATTGAGCACATATTGAAGCATTGTAAAAGTTCCCAGATTAACTTCTTAACTTTACATTCAATCATGAGATTCTTGCCGCTTACGAAGAATTTTAATTATCCTCTTGGTAACTAGAGGATAAAACACTGTATAGAGTTTAGTCCAAAGTTCTAAACTATTCTTATCCAGAGAGTCAGAGAAAGAAATGGCATTCACCTACTAGTCCATTACTGGAGTGCTAGCTAATTCTTTCCCCTTCTCAATCAAGAAAATGCATGAGAATGTAAATGACTGAGGTTCACTAATACACTGATAACTTTGAATACATTCTTATTTTTTCTTTTTAATATTAATAAACATCAATATTTTATTAATAGTATTAGTGAATAAATTATTTTGGCCACATGTGTTCTTGATCCTTGATGAGACTTACTGGTGTGTTCGTTAGCCACCCCTTTATTTTGCAAATAAGAAAATAAACGGGAAAATTAGGTGATTTACACAGAAGTTAATAGGTAATAGATGACTTTGTTCTGAACTTTGGAGTAGAGAGGTAAGGAATGGGGAAAACATTTTTTGAACTAAGAAAATGTGATCTAACGTTTCTGTAAATAAGCAAATTCTGCCCTCTCCCCAAAAAAGGGATGCATTGGTAACTTACCATTTAGCCTAGAGCATGCGAACCATAAAAAATTATTCAGATTTTATTCTTTTAATTACCTCATAGTATCTTCCAGGACGTAGAGGTAAACCATTATTACTGAAATTCTCTTACATTTTTTTGCAGGGGTTGACAAAAAGACTCAGGGTGCTTATTATACACTATAGGCTGAGTAGAATAGAACATTCCTTTTACAATTGTATCATCTCAACTAGTGAATTCAAAATTGGAGAGGGTTAAATTGAACCACTTTTTTTGGTCCTACTTTACTAAGGTGGCATCAGGGGAAAAAGCTCTTATAGATGTCTAACATGTGTCCAGGTATATATACTCCTTGCCCACCAAGTGGGAATCTGAGTGGCCAATAAACTAGGATTTTGAATTAGAACCATGTGCTCTACCTATTTGAAAACTTAAATTGAATTATTTTTAATAATAGGTAATGATGCTTTGTCATTTGAGATAATATACCAAGTATGCAACAGTTAGTTACTATAGTCAGAACTTAATGGGTAATATTTTTTTGGTTGAGGTTTTTTTGGGTGTGTGTATGTATATGTTAGTGTGCTTTTTGTTATTTTTACCATTTTCCCTGTGTTTTGATTTTTTGTTTGTTTATTTTGGGATTCGTCCATTTTTATTTCAGTTGGAAGAATCATAATGTTTTTGTTTCCATAATGCAGACGGTTTCCAACTGTTGAAAAACGAGCCAAAGTCTTCAATGGATCAAGTTATGTGCCTATTCCTGAAGATGGTCCCTTTCTTAAATCACTACTCTTTGAACTTAGATTATTGGATGAGGATAAGGACTTCACAGAGAGTCGTGATAGCTGTTCACGCATCAATAAGACATCTATCTATGGACTTCCGGTAGGAGGTGAAGAACTCTGGCCAGTTATTGCTTTTGTGAAGAATGGCATAATACATGCTTGTGTTCCACTAGTTGAACAAACTTTATCCCCTCGACCACCATTAATTAGCATTAGTGCAATTTCACAAGGCTTTGAACTTCTTTTTGGGGTACAGGATTTTCTTTACTCAGGTCAAAAAAATGACACTGAACTAAATACAAAATTCAGCCAATTGCCTGACTTGCTTCTGCAGGCATGTCCATTTGGAACTTTGTTAGATGCCAACTTACAGAATTCATTGGATAGTATTAATTTTGCTTCTGTGACTCATCCACAAAAACAGCCAGCCTGGAAAGCTGGAACATACAAAGGAAAACCACAAGTTTCTATTTCTATTACCGAAAAGGTAAAATCCATGCAATATGATAAACGGGATATAGCAGATACATGGCAAGTCGTTGGAGCTGTCACGTGCAAGGTGAGATTTTTCTCTGGTATTTGTTTTAACGTCTATGGAGAAAAGTAAAAATTACTAACTTTATTTTATATTGTTATATGACATTGATTTTTATCATAAACAGCAGTCATTAGATGTTAGATTCATGTGAAAGTTTGTAATGTTACCTTTTTGCATTTGTTACTAATTGTGTTAGTTAATACTGCTGCATAATGAATTGCCCCATTATCCCAACAATGAACATTTATTATCCTCAGTTTTTATGGGCTAGACTTCAGGAGCAACTTAAGAACTTCTAGTGTGATGTCTCTGTGAGATCACAGTCAAGATTTCAATGGAAGCACTAGACACCTGAAGGTGTGATTGAGACTGGAAGATCTACCTGCAGGGTGGCTCATTCACATGGCTGGTTAATCGTGGGAGGCCCTAGTTCCTTTTCCATGTGGACTTCTCAACAGCTGCCTAAGAATGTCCTCACAATGTGGTGACTGGTTTCCCATAGATCAAATGATTAGACAGAGAGACAAAAACTCAGACACGAGGCACAGGTGGAAGCTATTCTTTTTATTACCAAGACTGAAAGGTCAGATAGCGTCACTTCCACCATTTTCTCTTCATTAGGAGCAGGTCACTAAGTCTGGTCCATGTTCAAGGAGGCTGGAATTAGGCTGAAGCTTTTAAAAAGAATGTCAAAGAATTTGTTAAATTTGTTAAATTCATTAAATTCCATTTTCTCTAGAGGGGATTAAATTGGCACACATCTGACTTAATATCTAAAACCATTTTGAAGGACTCTTTGTTTTATTTAAACAAGTCAATAGGTTAATATAGGGTTCTCTGGTTTAAGTTTAAAAAATAGGAAAAGACAATAGAAATAACAATACAGTTAGCAGTGATCAGTGCCATGTTGAATAAAGCAATGATCAGTTCTACAAATACATATTAATACTCCCAGGTATCTTTATTTTTTTGATATCTTCCTTTATTCTCCACAGTTACAAAAATAAACTTTTTATATATCAAACTTAACGTTGAGTAGTTATATACAAATCCTGTAGGTGAAAGTAGATTTCAAGAATAGAGAATTAGAATAGTCTTGGAAGACAAATTGGATCTTCCTTTTTCTTTCTAACTTTAAAGTAACCTAAGAGTTTATGTGTCTGTTTTAAACTTAATGCTCACTTCCATCATGATAAGAAATACAGTCCAGTTATTAACTTTATTAGAAATAACTATTGTAAATAGCTCCAAAATTGAGATGTTCGTGGACTATGTTATTCACAGGTCTTAAAGTAGTTGATCCTTTTTTCTTTTAAGTTCTATGAGATGAAAGTAGGAAAATTCACTATTTCTCTTTTTTCATCCTGAGACAATAAGGGAATATGTTATCTATAAATTACTACTAATTAATATCATGGTACTAAATATCTCAGCTCATTGATAGGCGAACCCTAGTTTGTGGTGTATGGGAATTTTGGATTAGTTCTTCGTCCTAGTCTGATACAAATTATCATGATGGAGAACTTTCTTCTATAAAAACTTTCTTATAAAAATAAAAAGAATGGAGGTGTACCTTAACCCACGTGCTAAATGTTTCTTTAAGCTTGTATGTAAATAGTATAACTGTTAGCCAAACATTTTTTAAGTACTTCAGGAGCATTAGTATTTAAGTACTTCAGGAGCTTAGTATTTAAAGGAGTTTTATCGTGAATCCTATTGTAAATGGAAATAATTATTTCTTCATTTTATTTTAGTCCTAGTAGAAAATCCAGTAAACTGAAAGCCAATGGACTGAATGAAGTTCTAGTCCCCACTCCACCACTAATTCTGTTTGTCTTTGGGGAAAATCTTAATTTTTAAAATTTTTTCTCATTTTTAAAATCAGATAAGTTTCTAGAGCCCTTCTGTTTTTATCATTCCTAGTTAAAAGTCCATATTTACATATGCCAGATTGACTTCAAGGGTAGTACATAGATGTCCTCATTCTGTAGTGAATGATTGGTGATCTGGTATTTTAAATGTCTAAGAAGCAGATGATTTGTTGGTGGTTTCCATAATGGTTACAATTTTCTAATCCTTTTAAGAATGTTAGAAGCTAATTTAATAAGTATAAACAATATTTTAAATTTTTATGGTATTTACTATTAATATTTGCTTATTTTATTACCTCCTTAATATCTGTCAAAAAACAAAACTTTTTGTTCTCGCTAGTTCACATAGAGTGAAGTAGCAGATGGTTTAGAAGTTGAAACACTAAAGTATTTTCAAATTTTGTAGTAAGATTATTTGGCTTTTTTTTTTTTCTTCTTCATGTGGGAGTCGAACTAGCAACCTTGCGGTTAAGAGCACACACTCTATCCACTGAACCATCCAGGCAGCAGCTCAGCTCAAGGTGCCGAGTTCAGTCCCAGCCGCGGGTGGGCATAGCCCACCATCCAACAGGCAGTCTTGTCTTTAGGAGCATGTGCTCTCACCAGCTGAGCCATCCTGCCACCTGTTGGCATCTCAGCTCGGGCACAGCTCACTGGCCCATGTGGGAATCGAACCAGTGACCCTGTTGCTCAGAGTGCGTGGTCTTAAGCAAACTCTTAACCAACTGAGCCACTCAGCCAGCCCTATTTGGCATGTTTATTTTCAAATGTGATTGCCATTGTAACTGTCACTGAAAGAACCTTTATAAAGCACTAATTGTATGTGGTATTGTTCATAATGCCTGCCTGTTCTCTTAAATGCTTACATTGTATGCAAATATATTCCTGAATTCATGCATATGTCAAGCAGTAGATAAAACATAAAAAGGTGAAACATTTCATGTTATAAAGGAAAACAAAGGTAGGATCCGTATGAAAAAGAGATATCCATTCAGCAAACTTTTTTTGAGTATCTCTTGGGCCTAGCAATATGCTAGGCACTCGAAATACAAAGAAAAATATAACAATTCTTGCTTTCAAAGAACTGAAATTTTCAAGAGGGAAACAAACAGGGGCAGAGACAAATACCTATAAGGGTGGGTAGTTATTGCATCATGCAGACTGTGTATAGGATGATGGAACTAGCTGCTGGTATTTGGAGCTAAGCATTATACCTGCTGAGTTCTACTAACTTAAAATAACTGTGTGGATCTAGCCACACAAAACATATCAGTAAGCCTTAAATGGCTCAGTTGGCTAGCTTTAACGGGGTATTTAATAAAGGTAAAGGTCAAGTTAGAGTTGCGGTACAAAGGAAGAACCTGAGTACCCACACACATAAGTAAGCTGTATCATCAGTCTCGTTGGGTCATGAAAAAAGCCGCTATAAGATTTATGGGAGTAAAGGTGTTTAATATAGAAATTAGGGCTTACTCAAATATAAGAGGAGCCGGGAGAGTAAAAGTTTGATCTCTAGCTGCAGCCTTTCAGAAACAGTCACTAATGACTTCAGCCTGAACACTGGGAGGAGATCAAGAAGCCAGGGTCCACAGAAACATCTGAGAAGCCATCGTGTCTCTGTTACAACCTCAAAGCAGAAATTCATGGACAGGCCTGTGACAGTGCTGCATCTGGCCACCAAGGCCTTAAAGCAGGAGCTCAGATTGAGCTCTTCCAGTTTGTGAAGCTGTCAAATCTGGCTTCCATGACCTTCCAAGATACTGGCTTCCTTTTCCCTTCTACCTTCCGAATCTCTACATGGCAGAGGTAGGCTGTGTAGGTGACAATATAGAACATGAGGCCTCAAACAAATTACAGAGAAAAGAGGATTGTAGCTGGAGGGAATCACACATACAGAAGCATGGAGACCTAAGACATGATTTACTCCGGGAAATTCAAGTGTCCAATATGACTGCAGCATTTAGTTGCAGGGTAGAAAATGGTTAAGAGGTAGATGGGAGCCAAACAATGAAAAGAAACACAGAACTGAAAGGTCTTGAGCGTGGATACAATATAATTAAAATTAATGTTTTATTAACGTAACTTGGCCTTGATTAGAAGAAAACAAATCTAAATACATTCGGAGAGCTGTATCAGAAACTGTAAGGGCCTGTACCGGTGTGTTTGTGACAGGAATGGAGAGAAGTCTGGGTTTAAAATAGCTTTTTAAAGGTTTTAGATGTAAGCAGAGGGCTCTAGGAAGGCTCTCCTGGTCTCTCGCATGAGTGTCAGAGAGCATGATAGAACTGTTAACCAGAACACACAAAGCAAAGAGAACAATGCCTTGAGAGAAAAGTGAGTTTAGTTGTGGAAAATGAGTCAGATAAATTCAGAAAAGCCTCACGCAGATGTATGCTTCTAAGATCTCAGTAAAATCTGTTTCTGTTTGTATTGCAGTGTGATTTAGAAGGAATCATGCCAAATGTTACCATCAGCCTGAGCCTCCCCACCAATGGGTCTCCACTTCAGGATATTCTGGTTCATCCTTGTGTGACTTCTCTTGACTCTGCCATTCTGACTTCTAGTAGCATTGATGCAATGGATGATTCTGCATTTAGTGGACCTTACAAATTTCCATTCACTCCACCGTTAGAGTCATTCAACTTATGCTACTACACTTCCCAGGTAAACAACCTTGGAAAAATTGAGACTTTGCTAATCTTTATATTATGAATTCTCTTTTGAACAAGCCATTTATACATTTGGTCCAAAGGAGAACTTTTCATGAGTTATTTACCGGACAGTGGTTGATGGATGAAAATGAATAGGCGGTTCTTTGAATAGGATGCCTCTTATCTCTGGTGTCTATTAACAACATTGAATGGTTTTCAAAGTAATGGGATTTTTTTTAATGTTCCCTAGTAAGGAGTTCATGGTATAGAGTAGATTCTGGTATGATTTAGTAATGGTTTGAACCCTGAACATATAAAAATACCCCTAATTCCAGGCAACTATAGTTGCAAATATATAAATTATTTATAACTATTTATTGCATATTAAATAACTACTGTATGTAAGACATTGTCCTAGGGCCTTTACATATATTTTCTCTAGTATTTTTAAAACCCTTAAGGTAGGTACAGTTAGCCCCATTTTACAGATGAGGACAGTCAGAGAAACTAAATGATGTGCACAAGGTCTTACAACTGACAAGTAACAGAGTCTAGATTTCAACCTAAATTTTCCAGATCCCAAAATCCAACATCTTTCCTACTATATTATTTGTCTCCTGTCCTAATTGTGAATCAGTGGTCTAGAAAAATCTACTCAAGCTAGCTTAAGTAAAGGGAATTTATTTCGAGCATGCAAGAGGCAATTTCATTGTCATTCAAGGATAAGAAAATAGATACAGTCCATACTGGAACTAGAACCAGAAAATAAGCATTAAAATCACCCTGTCCTCAAGGTCTGTCTCATCTCTGCCTCTTGGCCTCCTCTTCTAGCTGGCTTCCTCTGCTTGCATAGGACCTACAGCTGTAGGACTTATACTGTATAAGTAGGTCCTTCCTATTTTTTACTTCAAATGTACCATAAAGAGTGATTGACTCATCCCAGCATACAGATTGTCTCCCCTTCAATCAGTTCTTGATAACCAATTTAGTAAGCTGCTGCTGAGCTAGGGAGAGGAGGTGTCACAAGGTACAAAGCGGGCAGCGGGAACTGTGGGCAGGGTGTCAGTGATCAGCATGTCTAGTGCACGTCATAAATTGCAGATCATTGAGAACCTGGATGAGCCAGAGCAGGGAAAAACATGTATAGCACACCTTTGTAAGGCACCTTTCTCATCTTTGAAAACAGAAAGAGATGGAAGAATCCCTGCCCTTACAATGAATGTAGCTCTATCATCTATTATTAAAATAACCTGAAGTAACCCATTAGTCATAGTAATGACTATATTACTAATTACAAGGCTTTTTTTCTCAATCACCATTGATATTTTAGACCCATTAACAGAGAATTATATAAAAAATTTGTTTATGCTTGTTTCCAGGTTCCTGTCCCACCAATTTTGGGCTTTTACCAAATGAAAGAGGAAGGAGTACAACTAAAAATAACAGTTAATTTAAAACTTCATGAAAGTGTGAAAAATAATTTTGAATTCTGTGAAGCTCATATACCGTTTTACAATAGGTAGGAATAAAATAACATGATGCCATAATTTCTGCCTTCCTTAGTACATTTGCCCTGCTCTACAATTAACTACCTGTCTTTGTTTTTTATCTTATTGTTAAGATACTTTTGTTATTGAAATGAATGCTGATTCTGAACCAAAGCATAATCATAAAAATAATCTCCTTACCTTTAAATGTGTCTTCACATTTCTGGTTAAACTTGCTACTAAATATAAACTTCAGCCACTGTAAATTCCTTAGGTATTCTTTCACTCCTGGCTCTATTTCTAGCAATTTCTCTATAGTCTACATACAAGTCAAGTCCAAGTATCAACTACCTGGTGAATTAAGACAACTATATCACAAGATTACAGTTGACCCTGAACAACTCAGGAGTTGGGCCACTGAACCCCGCACAGTCAAAATCCACGTATAAATTTTGACTCCGCAAAAACTTAACTATAAATGGCCCTCCACATCTGCAGAGTCCCGCCGGGGATTGAAAAAGATGACCCTTGAACAACATGGGTTTGAACTGCATGGGGACCCATGTTGTTCAAGAGTCAGCTGTATGTCTTCATAGATTCTTGTAAATTTGTTCTACAGCATAGTTCTTTTCAAAGGATATTGAAATATATGGTAAAATCATGGTTTTAATGTTATTCCAATCTATGTGACTGTATTAATACATTCAATATAATTTTATAGTTGTCTTTAGAATTAATGATGAAATGTATATCATCACCAAAGATATTTATTATAACTGGTGTTTTTTTGAGATATAATGTTATTCTACTCTGTTATGCAGACTTGAATATAGATATGCTTTTATGCTGTCCTTGCATTAAGTAACAGTAGCAAGTTTTGACTTAGAGTTCTTAAAACTGTTTTATCTGTCGTCATTACTTCTTTCTATTGTGTCTTTTTCTTTTTTAAAGAGGTCCAATCACACATGTGGAATACAAAGTTAGTTTTGGCCAGCTTGAAGTATTTCGAGAAAAAAGCTTATTGATCTGGATTATTGGTGAGCTAGGTTTTGTTTATTATTTCTCATTCACTTGCTGTACAATCTACTTGATTTAGGATATTTGATTGGTGTATTTGTGTTTTTAGGACAGAAGTTCCCAAAATCAATGGAAATTAGCCTTTCTGGAACTATAACTTTTGGAGCTAAGAGCCATGTGAAGCAGCCGTTTGACCACATTTGCATTGGAAGTACAGCATATTTAAAGGTAAATATATTTGTATGGCTCACTACATTAGAAACCTTTCCTTTCTTTCTAAATTGCATATGTCTAATTGATTTTTATTGTTTTCTGGCCATTTTTTTAAAATTCTGTGCTAAGTTCTTTTTAAAATTTTTGTGAGATTCTTTTTGTTTATTATTAGTCACTTTCCATTTCACTTAATACTTTAAAATTTTTAAGGTGAAACAGTTAAGTATGACCGAAACACCTCAACTTAATCTACAATAGTTCTACTCAGCTCTAGTTATCACATTTGAGATTGGTATACAAAAAATACAAGATGTTGTCCTTGCCCTGTATGGATTTTTCAATAATCCATGTCAATAATTGATCAATTCTAACTGCTTTTGGTGTTTCAAGGAAGGAGTGAATACTTCTGACCAAAGTGGTCAAGGAAAGGATTGCAGATGGAGTTTAAGGCGAAACTCTGAGGCCCAGATAAGCATGAATTCGAAGCCTTGAAAATTGACTAATATTTGTATAGGTAAAGAGATGACTTAATCAAAGGAATGAAGGATAACAAGGCATATTTAGGAACCAGTGCCAGAAACAATAGTAATACATAAGGCTGGATAAGTGATTTAAGTCTGGATTGTAGAGGGTTTGAATCTAACTTTTAATTCCTTTGTTAGAAAATGTTATTTTTTAACCCTGTGTCAGGCGCAGCTGATCTCACAGATTCATTGCACACAAATTTTCAAATATCTAACAGTTAATTTAAGTATCGTGACTCATTGCTTCCATGTCTTCCCCCTCTAGGTAACCTATCGCCAGTCATGTTTGTGACTTAGAAAAAACATATTTCATTGCGGCATCTTTGTGTGCAATGAATCTGTGAGATCAGTTGTGCCCAACAGAGGGTTATTAAGTATGGGAGTGGTCTTTCAGAAAGCAATACTTTATGAAGATCAATCTAGAACAGATGTGAGGAAGATGAGTGAAAAAAAAAACTTGAGACAAAGTATTATTTAGTTATATTAGTATTCCAGATGAAAGGTAATAAATTAATGATGCTGAGCTAGTATAGTGTCACAAAAAGAGAAAAGAGGAGAATAAAAGGAAGCAACTGTTATAAGCATTGTAATAAAGGTAAAGTCATGGTCACTAATTAAATATAGAGACAAGAAATAGTTTGAAGTCAAAGATGGTGTTACTAAAAAAAAAAATATGTAACTTAAACCAGACTTGAAGCTCCAGGAGAGCAGAGACAGAAACCGTCTCATTGAATATTCATTGTTTTACTACCAACAATCTAGTCCAGTACCTAACACATAAATATTTGATAAATGAATCAATACACTTAGAAGAAAGTACTGATATGGAGAAAGTTAGGAGGGAGTGGGCTTCATATTGTGTATGTTGCTGATGATAGCAACATATCCCAGTGTAAGTGTCCAGTAGGTACTGGAGCTTGATTCTCAAGAGAGAGTGCAACTGTGTATAGGATTTAGGAGTTCTCCTTGGAGAAGAAATAGTTGAGTTAGTGGAAATGAATAAGATCAGGAAAAGATAAGAGAAAATAAGGTTCAGGAAGATTCAGAAGAACCAATGAAGGAAGTAGAAGGGATGATCGAAAAGGTAGCAGGAAAACCTAAATAGAATGGTAACAAATAAAAAAAGATTGAAATTTATTCATAAAACCAATTAAGGGACATGGTAGTGAAGTCACAGTATACTAGCAGTATTCATTTCTTCTCTCTCGGCTTCAACTATGTCCACAAGAATCACTATAAAAATTCCTACTTTCAGATATTTTTTCAGGAAAAGAAATGTGGAATGTTACTATATATATAGTATGTCTTTCAAAGGTACGGATTATGACTTTTCATTTCCATCACCTAACCAGTTATAATTTAATCAAAAGCATGTACCCCATTATTTGTGTTCACTTAATAGATTTATAATGTCAAGCTGTGTGGAAATCAACGTTTTCATAACTTCCAGCATCCAGAATTATACTAAATAAGCAAGCAAGAGCCCTTTACTATGACAGATAATTTGAATTGGAACTGGAAAAAAAAATTGCTACAAAATCTGAAAATTACATTCTATGCAAGTGATCAGTTTGGCAATTAGAAGGATGAAGTTAGGAAATGGGAGAGATTTGTAGGGAAGTGAGATGGAAGGGGGAAAGTATAGGAAAGATACCAGGATATTGCAAAATCTGGAGCTTTTAGCAGCAAAGACGAAGAGAACCACAGCAAAAGGAGACTGGAGCTTCATAAGATATAGACCTTTCATAGCTAATGTGGATATCACTGTGACTGAGGCATCAAATGTGGTGCCTTCAAAGAAGGTCCTAATGGCCTTCCCTATTATATAATAGCACAACATAATAATTGGCATTTATACTGATGACGCCACGTTATCAGTTAAATCCAGGAACTATGGATTACATTTTGGAAAGGTTGTATAGGTGAGAGAAGGAGTAATTTCTAAGCTTAGTTTTGTAAAAGTTAAATTTCATTTTTCTGGAAAATTAAGTAGAACAATTCATTCCTTCTAAACACCTTCTAAATACAAAATAAACTAGTATTTCTGTTTTAATAATTGCATTCTTGTGTTTTGGTAGAAGATGTATACGTTTCTGCCTGTGGAAGAATTAGGATCTGAAGTATATCACAGTCACATAGGTTAGAGATAGAAGAGAATATACAGAACACCAGACACCACAGGGGAAGGGCACCAACTTTATAGCCAGTCAGGTCTGAGTTCAGATGCCAGCTCTGCTACTTACATTCCGGGATGCTAATGGCTTCCATCTCTGTATTGGGTTGTTGGAAAAGTCATGACGCATTTTTTTCTATGTTTTTCATTGGAAAAATGCGTCATGACTTTTCCGACAACCCAATAAAAATATGAATACCTTGCAGTATGGATTAGAGTTCATATTAGAGAAGCGCCTGCTGTGTGTTAAGTTCTTCATAATGGCAGCCTTACAAAGAAATTGCCCTAATGCAAAGGGGAAACGGGATATATATATATATATATATATATATATGCGCTTGTGCGCACACACAATATACAATATTCAGGTTTAATATTTGTGATTTTAATTTTGTGAACTGTGTGAAGTAAATTCCTAAAATTACGTCAAGGGGAAAAAGTGTGAACATTATTTTAATCAAGGAATCACTTCAATTTGATACATTTCTCTTCTTTTTCTAGCTTCATTTTAGGATCTTGGATTATACACTTACTGGGTGTTATGCGGATCAGCATTCAGTTCAAGTTTTTGCATCAGGAAAACCAAAAATAAGTACATGTAAGTTGTACAGATTCAAACTAACTTGATGAAATTAAAATGGTGTTATGCAGTTATTACCTAAGGTAAAATTAAAATGTAACAGAAAGAGATCAGAGGATATGCCCAGTTAATAAAAATTCCAGCCTGATCCTATTCTGTGTATCACTTTGTGTGCTTTACATTGTCCTCTGCCTTCTCCTGTTTATAAAATTGTCTAGAAGAGCAAGGATTGGCATAGAGGTGGGCTTTAGTATAAAGTTGGATTTGTTTTACTCTCGTTATAATATACACTTTTATTTAGAGGTTGCTCACAGGGGTTTTGGTGTTAGACTCACAAGAGTCTGGCTCAGATAATTTATTATCTGTGTAATTTTAAGCAAGCTAGTGAACTCAAAGTTTTAGATTCCTCACCTATAAAATGGAAATGATAGTATTATTTACCTCAGGATTGTTATGAGGTTTAAATAAAATTATATCAACCAAGCACTTAACATGATGCTTAGCATGTAGCGTGGATTCAATTTACATTAGATATGATTATTTAAATTTTTAAATATTTCTAGCAAATGTTGTAGTCAATGAGCATTATTTAGTACCCTCTCTTTTATGAATAGGCGGGCAATAGAAAGAAGGTTTCCTTCCTTCAGCGAGTTTGTTGGTTGTAAATACACACACACACACACACACACACACACACACACACATATACATACACACACATATACATACATACAGTATATATATAGTATATGAAAATATAGGGAGACAAAAAGCAATTTATAAATGAATTTAAAATTATTTAATTCAGATCAAATACATATATGTGCCATAGAATAGAAAAGTAGCTAGAATGTGATAGAGTTAAATGTAAGCAGAAACCTTTTGCCTCATATATTAAGGAGAATAAAGCTATTGTATTTAGATAACTATTTCTTAAAGATTAGGGTTTTTAAAATAGGAAGAATAAGACAGGACTTTTTACTTGAAAGTTTCAAAAGAATTATAGAACTCAGATCTATAGAATTCTAAGCAATTATTTGTGAAGGGCAATAATAAAATCTATGTAATGTAATCAGAATAAGCCACATTCTGTACCTCCATAAGCTTTCCCTGTGTTTTCTCCTACATCATTTGTTGGTTGTTTTTTTAAAGAAATGCATATGTATAGATGGACTAGTCTTCATAATGCATTTTTTTATGAAAGCATAATATAGTTATGTCAGTTTGGACAAACCAGTGGTTTTGTCTTAAATACAAACAAACCACTATGTTAGATTGTATCTAATGAATGCAAAATAGTAAATAATAATAGCTAACATTCATTGCTTACTGTGGGCCAAGCACAGTTCTAAATATTTTATGCATGTTAACCCATTAATCCTCACAGTGCCCTATTAAGTGTTGTTATCCCCATTTTACAGATGAGAATGCTGATGGAACAGAGAGATTAGGGTCACATAACTAATAAATGGCAGAACTGCAAATCAAACTCATGTAGTCTGGCTCTGGAGCCTGGCTCCCTAACCAATATACTGTGTTCCCTCCCAATGTTAATAAGTTCCCAAACTGGAAAAAAAAAAAAAAAAGAAAGAAAAAGATAAAGTAATATATCCTATCTATATATACCCTTTTCATTATGAAGAAGAAAGGTAGAAAAGGCAGAATTAGATATTTAGTGATGTGTGTAATAATAAGAATTTACATGTGTCTAGCTCCAAATGAGCATTATCTCAATTTAACATATCAGAAAATTTTAGTTCAAAGCTACAAAGCTATTTTTAAAAAAGCTTAAATTTGGTGAGAATTATAAGAAACCACTGAAGCAATCTTTTTAAAACATTATTAGAAACTCGGGTGTTTATTTCTATCTTTGAAACAGAATGGGTAGAGAATAGGAAGATCAGAATCAGTATCATGGTGAAGAGGTTACAGAAGGGAAACCAATAAAAATTTTTATGTTGTAGTTGTAGTTGAAGTAATGGTCCACAAGAAACAGAATTTAGGGAAAATGTGAGGAAACAGTTGGCAGATTTAGCATAAATGAAGGATATTGGCATAAATTTGGCATAAATAAGCTTAAAGATGGATTATTTAAATATGTAACGAACCCATATTTTCAAAGTGGTAAAAGTTATCATCTTTGATAAAATCAAATTAAAATAAATATTTCAAAATACTACCCTCCTTGAGATAATTGTGTTCCACAGTTTTAAAGTATCATGACTTTGTCCTCTTACTGAATTTTTGTTAATATACTAGTCTTATCATTTATTTCTTTTTTTTCCCAGACCGGAAACTAATTTCTTCGGAATATTACATCTGGAATTCTAAAGCTCCTGCTCCAGTAACATATGGATCATTATTACTGTAATTGTCTCATGTTTAAATAGAATTTATACAATAGTAGCATAGCTTAAATCATAGTCTTTTATTTTTAATGTGTATACATATAACCTATGAGTGAAAAAAATCATGGAATGATTTAATTATTAAAATGCCGTTGTTTGACATTTTCAGTCTGACATAGTTTGAAAAAACATTTTAAAGACTAATGTCTCCAATTTTGTTACCCTTTTATTTTACTCAAATATGATTCAGAGCATAAAGCAGTAGTGATTCATTTTAGGCTTATTTTAGACTAGTCATAGATCACCCTGCCAATCCTGTTACTTCCTGCTCCTGTAGCCAACCTGGCTAATCAATCATATCCCTCTTTCTCCCCTGATCCTTCTGGATACAAGCTCAGGCTCCTCTTTAGCGCAGAGCTACACGCAGCTCTGGATTGTAGATGATGTGCAAAATAAAATACGATTTACTCTTCCAAACCTGAGTACTAAGTTCCTAGTACGTTGTGTTGTTACAGAATACCAACAACCACATTAGAAACAACTAAATCTCTTGAAAAAACAGCCAATGAAAACAAAGGAAAATTGTTTAAATAGTAACTTGTTCTTAACCAGAACTATACTATTGACTAATAAAGAATCTGCATTATTCTACTTAAAGTGTTTATCTCTGTTCTAGAGTTACTTTTCAGGTAAGCTTGTTAATCTGCCACAGTAACATTTTGCTTAGGGTGTCTGCAAGAATATTAAGAGGGGTGGGATACCTTTAGAAGATGAACACTGTTTTGTAATCACTTATGTCTGCAGCCAAATTTGTAAAGATACATTTAGGTATAATAGTGCTTTTTTCATCTTCTATTATATTAAAACTCATTAATGAATGAACTCGGATAAAAATTCAAAAGCCATTCTGTGGCTAGAGAGTATCATTTTATCTTATTTCAGTCTCATATAGCTTCTTTTCTTTAAATTTTCACTCTCGCTTTCTTATTAGCATTCTCTTGGTTTCCTCAGGAACCATCTAGTCATACTCTTTATTCTCTACCTATCTTTATAGTTATAGGTCTCATTTTGTTTTCAAAGCAGTTCACTTGTTAAGTTGTACTTTAAGTGACCATTCAAGAAAAGATGAAACCTCAAGATCCTCAAAACTGAATCCATGTCAAGTGCCTTTTTACAGAACAGAATTAGAAGCATTATAAAAAATGTTACAGACTAATATTCAATTAAATTATATCTTGGTTTCTATTTTTTAATGAGTCTCTTAAAGCTTAGAAAAAGCTGCTGGCTCCTTGAAAGAGAGCTATGAGAGTTTGAAGGGATATTGCATATAAATTTAGGATTTGAAATATGGTTTTTTTAAATTAAGGTCAATCCTACTCATTATAAACTCATTTTCTGCAAGGCATTATCATGCCACATGTTCTCTGTGCAGAATCATCCCAAGCAACAAAGGAAATGGAATAACTGTCTGACCAGGACTTTAATTTGTTATTCTAGCCTAATCATAAATAATCAGTTATAAAAACTTTCCATTTGAAAGAATAAAAAAATCATTCCCCTAAAGTTTTTCGATCTCTTAAACTCAAGGAAAGCTTAACATTTAACTTACGTTAATATTAATGAAGCCATTTGGACATCTTGATTGTATAAATGTTTAGCAAAGTACACTAAGATAAGCAGGAGGCATTTATCTAGTGAGTAGGCAGAGATTCAGTATAATAATACCCTAAGGAAAACTTTCTTTATAAGCAATCAGAAGAACCAGTGAATCTTTGGTTTGACATTTCTAGAAAGCTGAGGAAAATCTAGGGAGTAATGGAAAAGTATGGGGGCGATGGGCAACCTGATGCCATCTGTTGCCATTCCATTCTAACATAACGCTACAGAACTAAAATCAACTCATGTTTTCACCCTGTTGAGATCAGCTGGACACACTGTGATGCTTTTGATTTTGTCTAGAAATCTGTCACTTCAGGATAATTTCTGAAGACAAAGTCTGCTTCCCGTTTGGTAGGTGACCTGTTTAATGTTTTCCCTGTGTCTGGGAACTCCTTAGTGTAATTAGCGACCTTTGAACTCCACAACTAATCCTGAGCTATTTTGTATTCCTTACTCATCTTTAAGGCTGGACCTTTCTTTTCTTCCAACTCCGCTGCCACAATTAAAGAAGAAACAGCTGCATTTCAAAGGGATTCCGATTCCAGAAGCTTAATCGTGATTGACGTGTTCTTATTCTAAGCTATAAGACACTCTAAGAGTCCTTTCTTGGGTTAAAACTTCAATCATTTTCTAAAAAAATTATCTCACTATGGATTTTATTCATTTTCTTTGATAACTATTCTTTGCATTTTTTAACTTGAAAGATGCTTTGCGTTTGCAGTGAATATGAGCACCTACTTCCAATTAGATTTGGATGGTGTCAGACCTACTCTAGATGCAAAATTGCTAAATTCCCTTTTAGTGTCAAAATATGATTATGAAATCTGATGTATATCATATGAGTAATTATTCTTCAGCAGACCCAAAAGGTTAAAAAAGTGTTAAATTTCTGGAAATGTACTCCAGAAAAGAGAGTTTATGAATTTGGTAAAACCCTTTTTTTCTTCAATTTTTACTAAACAATATTTTTTAAACTTTTAAGCTGGCAGTATCCTTTCAGTGGTAGGCAGTTTTTTTTTTACTTTTTAAATGATTTAAATTTCAGGTTTGAAGTAATGGCCTCAGAAAATTTTTTGTTCAAAAAAAATTTTTTGATTAAACATTTGTATAAAATTTAATTTTTTTACACCAGCTCAGTATTTCTGATGAGCTAAAATTATTGCGATTTTATATATTTTATGATTTAAGATCTTTCAAAGCACAATTTTATAAATAATAGCAACTGCTAATATTTTTCTTCTATTTTCTTCTTACAGTATTCCAAACTACTTTATAGACATTCGTAGACTCCTGCACCACTCCTGGGAGGTAGATAGGTCCAGTTTTCATTGAGTCTCTTCGGGGACCGCTGCCACAGCAGTACGGTTGTTTCTAAGACAAAGGTCAGAAAAGGGATGTTAATAAACAGTCGTCAGGTTTAAGGGACTTTTTTAGGATTACATCTTAAATTCCAACAAATCAGATTTAGGAGTTACTGAAAGTGAAATTGATCCATCCCTCATCCAAACTTTGCAATACTTTCCTGTTCTGACATCATTTAGATAGTTAGCTGTATTATCAGATTAGAAACCATTGTACCAGGCTGCTGAAAGGAAAAGAAGGCAAAAAGCTAAACATGGGATGAATTCTGAACCTTTTAACCTGGCTGAAGTATGTTGGTCCCTGTTATGCAAATACCTTCAATCCTCTGCTAAGTTCAGTGGAAATAATTTTCTTGAATGACAGGTTTATTCAGCAAGGATTCAGTTGGTGATTAATCCCCCTTTGATCTAGGGTATTTCACTTAACTACCAGTTACCTCTTTCTGACAAAGTGCAACTGAGATTAGGGAGATCACTAGAACACTACTAGGGTGTGCGTTTATTCTCTCTAACCTTTTAAAGCAAGGGCCAAGAATGCAATTTATTTTCTGTATTTGAAGATGTAAAGTCCTGTCTGCTAAGTTAGAAAGTCAATTGAATACCAAATGAAGTTTATTTCTTACGTAATAGAACAAACATTTCTTTTTGCTTTGCTTAACATGATTTTTAGGAAAATATATGCTTTGGAAAAAAAAAACTACATTCTAAGGTATTTCTTCTAGTTTTGTTTCATGTACTAGAGTGTATTCTTATTGGCCCAGAGATAACCTAAAAATCAAAGCAGTGGCTATAACTTAGGTTGAGAATATGCTTCTATTTTATTAAACTGCATGGTTTCTTCCCACCCTCCCCATTAAAAAAAAAAATGTCATGCTATGTGGTAAAGAAATCCAATTGGGGAAAATATGTAATACACAATTATTCCTATCGTGAGACTTCTGATTTCAAAGCTTCATTTGTTAACTTTCCCCTTTCTTGAGGAAAAGAACTTGTTATGTTGCCATCATAATAATTGCATTCATTTTCAGAATGATTTTTTTCATAAATGTAAATGATGCCATTACAAAAATACTTCTAAGTAATTATTTTAAATTATTAAAATAACCATTTTCCACAGTATTGTTTACTATTTTTTCTGCCCCTTTTTTTTTTCATTTGACTGGGTACTACTTTTTTCATCACTAAATTTTGAAATAGTCTGGAATTTTGCACAATATTTTAAGAATAAAATTTTAAGGTGTGTTTCATGCTAGTCTCAAAAAATTCTCCTTTTTAAAAAAAACTTACCAATGTTAATGTCAATATTTATCTTGCAAGATACAAAATTTGGGTTATCTAGTCCTGACATATATTTCAAGTTCCTTAAAGAAACATAATTGTAACAAAATTTGTTTTTAATTATTAAATTATAAAGCCTTTTTAAAATGCTTTATAATTATTCATTATTCTAGTAGCAATTTGCAATACAAGTTATGTATTTTCATAATTCTCTTATATATTTTTTTTTAGCTCAAACTTTTTGTGACCCAATTTCTAAATTAAAACGACTCAAAAAAGTACATGTGTAACTTACCTTGGTACCCAACCAGGCTCTCTAGTTTCAATTTAGTAACCAAACTGTTTCCAAATATCTTTGATAGCAAGTTACTTAACAGCAGTAAAATTGAAGGTCAGAAAAAATACAAGATGAAAGGCAGAATCTCCTGGCTATGTTGCTAAGAAACTAGTATTTTTAATAATTCACTACTCTGCAGTAAACACAGTGCCAAAAAAATGTATGCACATTTCAAGAAAGGAAAAAACTTAAAATTGTTAATACAATGAGTGATGCTAGCATTCATTTGATTAACGCCATCTTTTGAGCGAATGTCATACTACATATTGCTACTTAATTCAATTTAACAATGAAAAGTAATACATAGATGACATCTCTTAAAATGTGTATACATTTGTTTTGCACCCCCAGTATTTCGTTAATAAAATGTTGTAATATATTTTGAAATATGCCATCTGAGAAAGAATCTCTATAAAACATATACGTGTGTATATTTATGTAATGTATATAATATGTCAGTGTTTGTAACTTGGTGGGTTTCCCTATGAAATATTTAGTTTCAGGTCAGAGGAAGAAGAATATCTAGTCAAATATTCAAATACCTTCTCTCCGTACACAATGAAGAGATTCTTTAAAATGAAAATTGCCAAAGGACTCATGAGATCACTCTTACAAAATGATTAGAACTCTTATGGACTGAGGGCTTTTCAACTAGCTTCTCGTTGTTTTCATCAACTGTTTTATGGATATGGTAATATTGTCCATATGTAACCCAGAGCAGTACAAGGCCTTATCTGCATTACTAGTTTACTGCATTGTAAGCAGGCTACTCTGAGGTCCAGGTTGATTTCTCCAAAGCCATGGCTAATCTACATAATTGTTGGCAGCGTGGTGTTAACGTATGATGCACAGCATTTACAGATTGATGGATGCCCAGGAATGGAAACCACCTGCTGAACTGTTTTTCCAGGAGGATGTGAAAATTTGTGTATTTTGATAATCCATTAAACATTTAAAGTCAAACTATGTTTCCTTTAAATGTCTTTTTAAATGAGTTTCTGTTAAAAAAAATTGGTCTAGATAACACACTTTTAATAATAAAAATGAAAAATAAATTGTTGTTATCCCTTTTAACATTTTTACTTTTTCTTGCAAGGGACTTGAGTGCCCTCTTCAGGTTATAAAGAGATAATTAATGACTATATTTTTAAACCCTGTGATTTTTCCCTTTTAGAAGCATAGCCTTCATAAATGTGATCTTTTTTACTTATATTGTTAACATGGTTAATTTGCCAGTGAATGAAGGAAGAGTTTCTTTTCTTTGCCTGTTTTATAGTTATGTTTAGTGTGAAGAATGTAACACCATTGAATTTTCCAAAATACTTAGCTGGGGCTCTTTAAATGTTGGAACTATGCACATTTGAACTAATATGGAAAACATTTATGTATTTTGAAATGTGTTAAAAATGTGGAGAATAACTTGATTATTTCCCATTACATTTTTAGAATATGCATTTGAAATCAGCCTTTTTCAATATGCATCATGTAAAATTTAAAAATTACATAAGAGTTCTATTTCTTGTTCTTGTTGATGAGTAATGATTGTGTTCAAGCTGTAAAACAAGGTTTCCTAGAATTTATTTAAACAAAGTTAGGATTGAACAGATAATGCTTTGGCATTAATGTTGCATGGGTCAAGTGACTAAAAAGTATTTCTATTTGAAGAGCAAAAGGCAAAGGTTTCACATCTGAGTCACTCATTTCAGTGTACCCATACTTTCTCAACGAGTTTAACAGATTGGTTTCTGAAGGATATGGTTCATTTTCTATATATAAAACGATAGAACTGGAGCACCAGTGGCACTTCTGATTCATTTAAAGCTGCCAGGGGAACTAAATATGATAAGAACAAGAGGAATCACTGGATCAAACTAATAGAAATAGATTTTTTTTTTTGCAAGCAACATAATGATCCTGATCATCGACCTTGAAAAGTAAATTGCTGTCGAAAAATTCTTTCAGCACTCAGCAGTTGCTACTCAGCTAGTCCTGGCTCAAGCCAGAGGCAAGGAAAAAATGCACTCAGTTTTGCATTAACAAAGGAAACATTATTAAAGTGAATGTTTACATTGTGTTTATTGAAGTGTTCAAAGAATATTTGTTGCATCTTCAACCTGCTGTTCTCCCTACTATTGCAGTGCATGAGTAATAAAAATAAGTCGTGTACATTTTCAAAAAACATATAAGTGACATTTAACACGTGTTTCTGAAGTATCTTCAAAATATTTAAGTATCAAGATTAAATATTTTAAACCTGGAGGTTTTTGTCTCCAGGAAATGTATCCCATAAAGAAAAAGGCTCATTTGCTTGAATATGTCTTTTAGTTATTTCCAAATGCTTTATGTAACTTTCCTCCCAGAAACTACATAAGAAATAATAAGCTGAAAATTAAAAATCCAAACAATTGTGAAATTACTGAAGTGTGTAACAATACATAATATGTTCATTGGAGAAATTGGTAATTGAGAGCTTTTGTGAGCTACAATTATTTTGAACTACTTTATAAAAATTAAAATAAGAATAGACAATTGAACACAGTCTTGCCAATCTGACATTTAAAAGTTTAATAAGTATATGTACTAGTAAAATGGGGAAAGTCAATAGGTAAAAATTCCGAAAGAATTTTACCTGTCAAAAATTTTACCTGTCAAAAATGAACAAATCATATTTTAGAAGTAGAAGTATAGTATTTGTCAGGGATTAAACTACCATATTTTCTTGGTTTCTTAGCAAATGTTAGTAATACTTATAGCTTGTTAACTAATAGCAAGAGGACTTTTTATTTTTTAAAGATTTTTTTTTATTGGGGAATT